TTTCTCTTAAGAATTCTACATATCATCAGGCATGGGATCACTTGCCTTTGTCTTATGTGTTAAGAGAACTTTGTAATTTGTTGAGGATTTAGTGTTCATCCTTCCTTCTGGTTTTAGGATCCTCTTTAGGATTTATCTGCTTGTGCTCTGGGTTTTTGTTACAGGTTTTCCTTGCCAAAATCTTTGGTGTGTCAATATTTTATTAAATATAGTTCCCCTATCACTCATTTTATAACTCCTCCTTTACTGCTGTGTAGACCGAAAGGCGTGGCAGTAAATGTGCTTCATGTGCCTTTTTGTTTGTTTGTTTTGGATTTTTTTTGGGGGGGGAAGGGGTGGCAGGCATGGATTTAGAATGAATCATTCTGGGTTCTTACCCAAAGTAGGGTCTTGGAGGAAAGGACTGGTGCTATATGGACTTCAGTTCACTTTCAGGCTCAGGGCAGACACTCATACTAGCCTGCATCCCAATTCCTCCCATGGCCCTCTTGCCTTCTCAAAGCTGGGCTGAATCACCATCCCTAGCTATTTACAGGGTTGATGGAGGGCAAGGGAGAGAGTCCTTAGTGGAATCTCTGCAGTGATGGGAGTCCTTAACCTAGGGTTGGGCTCCAGTTAGAAGGCAGCACGCTTTTAGTTCCTCCTTCTTCACATGGCTAGACAAAGTCATTTTTTTTTAGGCAATTGGGGTTAAGTGACTTGCCCAGGGTCACACAGCTAGTAAGTATCAAGTGTTTGGTCTGAGGCAGATTTGAACTCAGGTCCTCCTGACTTCAGGGCTGGTGCTCTATCCACTGCGCCACCTAGCTGCCCCCAGAGTCAATTTCTTCCTGATGGTTTATGTAGGGGGACTGCAGGGGTGAGATGTGCTGCTAGTAGAGTAACCTTTTCAGTAGATGAAATCCCAAGGAAAGTCTGATACAGAAGCGCATTAGGCCCTTTTGTTTCTGGGCCAGAGTATGGAGGCTGATGACTGAGTTCTTTAAGGATTAGAGTTCTCTAATGATAATCCTCCATTTTTCTGTCTTGTGAGGGTTCTCTCTACTTTGTTCCTTGGATTCAGATGTAATTGCTCTTCCTCAGAGGTATAATTCCTCTTTGGGAGGAGTTTTAAGAGTTAAAGGGATCTGGAGAGAGTGTCTCTTCTGCTATGCTGGTCATGTTCATGATGATAATACTGAACAAACCAATAATGCTAAATTAAGCACAAGAGATGTAGTATTATAGTATTATGCAGTAATAAATGAAGCAATAGCTGCAAGTAAGTAACATGCAGCAAATAAAACTGGAGTGCAGATATGCAAATTAGTGGCAATACAAGACAACATGCACAGGATTCTGGGAAAGCAGTTACAATAGCTACGCTCATGTACTCAAATCAGATTGTAACTAGGTAAAAGTGCCCATGAAATCAGTACCACTTCCACATACACACAATCGTATCAAAACAAACGCTCTACCCATTAACCATCATCATAAATAACAGCCACTTTGCATTTATGAATTCAATGGCTCTGCCATGGAAGAGAGAGATACCTCTGGGAACACAAAAACAAAACAAATCAGAGCAGAACAGAACTAGAAAATAGGATTAAAAAACATTAGGAGAGGAAACAAATCAATGAATAAGGATGGCAAAGTTTCAAAATAAACATCGGAAAAAATAGAAAAGGAAAAAAAGAAAAATTTTCCAAACTCTCCCTTCTCCCACCCCAGAAAGAATACTGGACTGAGCTCATAACACATGAACCTAATAGAAAAGAAAGCATCCAGACTGAGAAGGTGTCCTGTGTCACTAGCTTCAGGGTCATTGAAGCAAACCTGTCTGAGATAAAATGTGAAAAACAAAAGGAAGAAGATAAAAGAATATTGGAAAATTCTGAAAGTAGCAGACTGACAATTTCAAAGATCCTAGGCATAAGGGGGTGGAGAGGGAAGGGACCAATCATTTATTAAATGCTTCCTAAGTGCTTTACAAATCTTATCTTATTGGCCCGTGTCTCAGGCTCCCCTTCCTCTTTTGGGGGAGGGAGGTGCTGTCTGAGTAGAGCCCACGTTGAACAAAGGTTCCATGCAGTGTTTGGGCCAGGCACCTACAAAAGCTAGCAGCAGCACTCCTAAAAGGGGGGGTGGTGGTAATCATCTCTGGAGAGACCAGGGCTACTCCTGAAATATCCCTCCTCCCCAGATGCATCCACCTTTTCTCTGACCTCACCCTTACTGTCAGTGATTCTTTCGTCCTTGTTTAGCATTTATTATACTTCTTTATGTGAATGTTGTTTCTCCCCAAGAAACATTAGCTCCTGGAGGTTTTGCAATGAATTTGGTTTAGTTTTTGCATTTTCTTCAATGCCATCCCATAGAATAAGGAGGTGCTTATTCTATCTTTATCAAATTGAATTAAATGTTTAACTCACACCTTCACTGATGCACCTCAGTCAGTCAATAAACATTTATTAAGTGCCCACTATGTGTCATGGCATTGGGCTAAACACTAGATGTGCAAAAAGAGGCAAAAGACAGTCTCTGTTCTCAAGGTGTTCACAATCTAATGGTGAAGACAACCCCATTAACTTATGATTCTCCTCTCCTCCCCCTATGTTGTTTCCCCAGCCCTGGACTGGTGCTTTCCTCATTGGAAATTGTTGCCCTTTCTCTCTGAAGGCTGACTGAATAATAGGGAAACATTTTTAAGCTGTGAGCTTGTCATCTCTTTGGGCTACTCTGGAGTCTCAGCATTTATGTCCATCAGCAGTTGGATTAATTACTCCTAAAATCACACTGTTCCCAATTTCGGCCCCAATCCTCCAATCTATTGAGCTTTTGTTACTTACTGCAATGGGCCAGGTCATGGCGTTCGTGATTCCTGTTGCCAAGCGACAATCTTCTCTGCGTCTTAGCTACTTTATCGAGATGGAAAACTCCCTAAGTCCCACACTTTTCCTCCTCAGTTACTTATGTACACTGAATGGACGTTATTTACATGGACCAAGAAATCCCACTGGTTAGAGGGGGTCCTGATTAGTGCAAACAATAGATGCCCTGAAGTGGTCCCATTATTTGAATTCATACTGCCTGTTTCCATTGGGCTGGAACCAATGACCATATTTTACATAATCAGCTTGGACTATTATGAAGAATGCCTGAGAAGGCTTCTGGGGACTCATTATTCACACTAATCAGAAGCAAGCTGTAGATTCCAATCATTCAGTCATTCAGTATACTTTGTGCTCCACACCGTGATTGGCAACAAGGATGAAAAGAAATAAATGAAACAGTCCCTGCCCTCAGGGGAGTGGAGGATGCCTGACCAGGTGGGTGGGCTGTCATCATAATTTCTTAATGGGCACAATAGCAATGCTTATTTAATCTAACATCTGATTCAATTCAACAAACATTCATTAAGCTCAAGCACTGGGCAAGGTGGAGTGGCATTCTATTAGAAGAAATAATATGTGCATAGACTAGGTGATTCTGGGGGGGGACACTAGTGTCTGGGGGGGTCAGGAAAAGAGGGGGCACCATAGAAAGGGGCACCAAGCTGAGTCCCAAAGGGCACCAGTGATTTCAAGAGGGAGAGGTGTAGAGGGAAGACTGAGAGGGCAGTTGAGGCATGGGGACTAGCTCATGGAAAGGGACAGTTACTGCTTTCTTTCCCCCCTCCCCCCTCTGCCCCAGTCCTACTCTGCTCAGACCATGGGAAGTTGGCATTTATTCCAAAGAGCTTCTGGCAGATTTTCTACTTTCCCATTTCTGCCTCCCCTGACCCCACCTCCCAGCCCCTTTATTCTTTATGCTGCATCCTGACAAGTTTCAAATTTCTTATGCTTGAGAGAGATGCTATTTACATGGGTCACACAGGAACAAACAAAACAGACAGGAAAGGGAAATGATCAGAAGGTAGCCAAGAAGCAGAAATCTTTCACTCCCCATTGACACCTCGCTAGCATCCTGTCTCTCCATTAAATGAAGATGAAAAGGAAAACGCTCCAGTTGAGCCAACACAGCACAAGTGAGCTAGGTGTTTAGCACAAGGCTGGTAAGTTTGACTAATATATTCAGACAAAAGAGAAAACTTTCAATTCTGAAGCCTCCTGATCCTCCCCCCAACCACTACTGCCCTCCCTCCCTCCTGAACTATCTTGTACTTAACAACTTTGCATCTATTTACATACATTTACTTTGCAGCCAGTATGTCTCTGTTTTTATATCTACTTGTTGTCTCCCTTGTTGGGGTTGTAAGTTCCTTTCCAGAGGGGTCTGTTCCGTTCTTTGTACTTGTATTATCAGCACCCACATGCCAGTATCTTGCACAGGGCAAACACTTAATCAATACAGGTTTGATTTAATTGAGAAGGGGGAGTTCTCTTGTGATTGAGAGACCAGGAAGGGATAGGAGATGTGGCCAAAGCTTCGTTTGACAGATGTATTCTGGGTTGGTCACATGCCAATTGTATATCTAAAACCAGAATTTCCTACTGGTATCTCACGCTTAACACACCCTTAAACTGAGCACCATCTTTTACCCATAGCCTACTCCTTACTTGTTTCTGTCAAAGGCACCACCATATTTCCAGTTTCCCAGTTCCATAATCTCTCCATCATCCCTGACTCATATTTGTTCTTATGGAGGTGAGGATGGAGACTGGACAGTGATGTAATTATCCAGAGTATTTAAGCTGATAAGTCCAACTGACCACAGGCAAATGCTCTCCCTGGTGTAATAGGGATAACCCACAAAGCTGTTAACAGTCAATTGAAGATTCCTTTAATGTGACACTGGCTGAGGAGGAATGGGCCCCAGATGGACACATTTTGATTGGGAGTGAAGTGGGGAATGGGAAAGAGCAACTATTTATCCAAAATCACATTATTTTGGAGTCAAGGTTGGAAGCCAGGTGTCTCCTCACCCTTGAGTGTCAGAATTTAGCAAAGGCAAATACAGTTCCATATATTGTTTGAGGAACCTTAAACAGCTGATCTGGCCTCTTATTTTACAGATAAGGCAACAGAGACCCAAGAAGTGAAGGGACTTGGCCAGGGTCATACAGGCTGTGAGTGGAAGAGCTGGAAGCTGGAAGGTGAACCCTGAGTCCTGCTTCCGCAATGTTTCTGTTACACACCTCTCCCCTTTCCCTTCCTGATGGTTTTGCCCAATGACCATGAGTCATACCCTGAGATGGCTGCAGACCCTTCAGCATTGTTGCTGAACTGACCATCTCCTTTCATTATACCCACAGGATTTCTCACTTTTATCCCAGGAGGAAGCTGTGCACATTTCATCAGGTCCTAGATCACAGAAGCCACCCAGTCCAACCTCTCATTTTACAGGTGAAGAAACTGAGGCCCAGAGAATTAAAATGATGTGCCCAGGGCTTCCCAGGTAGTGAGTGGAAGAGGTGAGGTTTGAACCTCAAACCTTTGACCCCAGAATCACTGCTTCTTTTTCTCTGCTGTGCCATATTGAAATAAAAATGAGAGCGACCTAGCTCACCATTAGAGGTGAGATGAAGGAGTCAATGATCATTATATCCTTGTTGAGATATGTTGAATGATGGCCTCTGATTGCTGGGACATCCTGCTAATGACCTTAGCATACAAACCAAAGCCTGAGTCATTCCAAGTGACTTAGGACTGTCATGGCCATCAGACTCCCAAAGTGACATGAGAGCTTTGCCCCATGATGGACTAGACTTCACCTGTGCTAGGGATGAAGGATAGTTGTCTCCAAAGCTAGTAATCTGACACTCACACAGAACCAAATCTTTTTTTAAAATTAATTTTTTAAATTATGACTCAGAGGGACATTGAAAGCCATAGAGTGAGTCTAAGGGGACCATAGCATGTTACCACTGATGGCTTCCATGTGGAAACTGACCTGAGACATTGTCAAGGCCTAACGACTGAAAAAAAGTGGGCTGGTATGAAGTGGGGGGATGGCACAGATGGATAGCCCCCAGCCTGTCCTGGTGCCCACAAAGCACCAGGACTGCCAGTCTGGAAGGCCTTGTCCTACCTCAGGTGCTTGTCAGATTTACAAGAGGACAGATAAATATGTTACAACAACTAAGAAGGGGTCCAGATTTAAGCCACCTTGGCCATGAGCTCATGCATCATGTATAAGCAATCATGTAAGAATACTGGAAGTTTGAGATTTTAATTGATCTCCTGTCTTGCCAGTACCATCAATAGGGATTCCTCCTCAGAAGCAGGTGGAAACTCAGCTTTAAGTTTGAATTCAAAGCTTTACTAGATTGCAAGCTTCATGAAGGCAGGGGCCTGTGTCTTAAATAAACCTCATGCCCCTCTTAGCTTCTAGAATAGGACCCTGCACATAGTCAGGAAAACTTGGGGGAAAGTCTTGTCTCTGACACCAGCCTCAAACATCTCTCTAGGACTTCTTGCTAATACATATATGGGGTGAGATGTGCATGGGTACATGACTCCTTGCTGCCTTGGCTTCTGTAACCTGGGAACTGTCCCAAGCTAGTGGAGACCTGCTTCCAGCAGACTGGTGCCTTTGGGACTTCTCTAGGCATGGGCCTGAGTTTCCTCTTCTCTTTCTTTGACTGCCTGTTCATGCTTCAGTTTTTAGCCTATTGTCCTAAATTAGGACTTCATAAGGTCCCCAAGACCTGTCCCTACCCCAACCAAGAGAAATAACAAAGAACATGCCCTCCCTTCCACAGTGGTGTCAGGGTAATTTCCAAGGCTCACAAAGCTCTCAGCTCATCTCATTTCACCTGCTTTTAGTTTTTTAAACACTAAAAAAAGGGCAAGATGATTTATCCTGACAATGTGTTTGGGCTACTGACATTTCTGACAGTTTCAAGAGAATGCTCAGGCATTATTTGGACTTCAATGTACTTTTCACTCCATTCTATTTGCCCATCAAAACTGAAGAAGGCTACTTCTCTCCTCCTTCAGAGTTTTACTCTTCTCAGCAGATCTCTCTTTTTCCTTTGAGTCTTTAATCAAAGTCTCAACAAGGAGAATTTTCTTTGAAAAAAAAAAAGGTCTTATGCTGGGAATCCCTAGCTTGGAACATGTGCTGCTTTGAAATGGTGGCGGGTTTAGCTCTAAATAAATAGGGAGCATATTTGTTCACATGTGATTCCATAATATCAGAAGTGCATCTTGAAAAACAGAATTTGCTTGGGCTGCAGAGAATGAAAAGGAAATGTACCTTCTCTGCCTATGACCATAGAATATTGAAAGAAAAAAAATCAATGGAAATGTATTTAGCACCTACTGTACACAGAGCACTGGACTAGATAATGAGGGAGATGCAGGGTTTGGGTCAGACTGAAATAACCTGCGAATGTGACAGTGTCAGCGATCTTTGAGACATCATGGAAATTGGAGACTGGAGGAGAGCAAGTGACACTGCCAATCTTACAGTGCCATTCAAATGCAATTATTGTTAGTGTTGCTATTGTTATTATTACTCATACAAAGGCAGATAATCACTTCTGCACATGCTAGGCTTATTAGAGAAGGGGGCCAGTGTTGGTGAGGAAGAGGACCCGGCTTCCGATTTTGGTTCTGATGTGAAGGAGGGGTTGGACTAGAAAGGGTAGAAACAAGCATTTATTAAGTGTCTATGTGCCAGGCACTGTGCTAAGTGCTTTACAAATATGATCTTATTTGATCCTCCCAACAACCCTGCAAGGTAGGTGTTATTATTGTATCTCTTTTACAGTTGAGGAAGCTGATACAAACAGAGGTTTGATGACTTGCCAGGGCTCCACATCTAATAGGTGTCTGAGGTTAGATTTGAACCCAGCTCTTCCTGACTTCAGACCCAGTGCTCTATCCACTGGGCTACTTAGCTGCCACTGTCCCACCTAGCTGCCCCAGCCTCTGAGGCCCCACACGGCTCCAAGCTGGTGAGTATATGACCCTATGAGTTTGGGTACTGGCCCAATATCATACACATCCTTTATTAAGAGATGTTTAGAGAACTGAGATTATAAAGAGCTATCATGGCTTCATTGGGAACAGTCATGGCAGGTTAATTATATCTCCTTTGGTGACAGGCTTATTAAACAACTTAACCAGAGGAATGCCAATATCTGCCAAGGCAGAATTTGCCTAGATTTCATCATAGCATTTGTTCAAGTGTCACAGGCTATTCTGATGGACAAGATGGCAAGATAAGGAATAGACAGCTGTACAGCAGGCTAGCTTGGGGATTGGTGGAATGACTGGAACCCACAAGCTTTCACTGATGGCTCAAGGTCGTCTTGGAGAGAGCTCTTTGGCTTGCTGCCCTAGGCATCTATGTGCAGACATGTGCAGGGTGACATTTTTATCAATGATAATCCCTTGGAGAAAGAACAGACAGCAGGGCTCATCCAAAGTAAAGACCTCAGAAAGGGCATGGCAGACCAGACTCTATTGAATGGCTCCAATGCCATGAGATGCAATAACCCTCAGCACTCTGCAGAGTCCCCTCCTTCTGGGGTGACAATGGCAGGATGGTGAGGAAGGTCTCACAGGCTGTTTAGATTCATGGGTTCAGACCATCTACACACTTGGTATTCTCTGTCCAGCATCCAACAAGCTTACAGATTACTGGATAACCATACCAATAAGGACACTCCTGTTATGAACAACACCAGAAGAAATGATGTGATGGCAATTAATGGGAGTGTGTTTTTCTGGCTCCAGGCCCAGCACTCTTTGTTCTCTGGTGCCACCTGGCTGCTCTTGGTCATGTGTGTTTATACATGTGCACCTCTTTACCACTATAGTTGATGTTTGTGGTAATTCTTTCTTCTCTGCCATCACCCTCTCTCTTAGTGTGTTTGTGGGAGAGTGCACTCCTCAGTGGGGGAAGTAGCTTTGTAACTAACTTTTTTTATGGGGCCATTCAAATAAATGCCTTTGCTAAAGAACTGAATCTACTGGGTGATTGTTAAGGGACAGTAGACTAGTGGGAGCTCAAGAACTAATGCTAGGAGGCTAATCACTCACAGGGCTATCCTTAGGAGCACATCTGTAGTAGCAGCCACTCTTCTGGAGACCCAGCAACCCAGCCTGTTTTTGCTGGTGTGAGTTGGACAAGTGAAGCCATTAAGAGGTCATTACAGCAGTGTTCCATTTGTTCTTCTCTCACACACAAATACACACTTGGTTCTTTTAGGTATACAGACTGCTACAGGCCAGCTTTACACTAACTAAATGACAAGAGGAACTTTTTAGAAAAAATATTTCACTCACTCATCGGAATTAATTTTAAAATGATCTGGATAATTACCTCAATTTTCCACTTGGTGAAATGGAAAATAGACCTAATCAAGTTCCCATCCTATAATAATAGCTCCCATTAACCACACAGATGAGGATCCCAAAGTGCTTTTCTTCTAGTAGTCCCATTAGTCTGGCAAGGCTGCTTCTTGGTCTACCTCCACGGGCCCCGTTGTACCTAAGAAACAGACACCAAATTACCTTCTAGCCATTGACAACTAAGAGGTCATGGATTAAGAAGGCAGCTTTCTCTTGTAATTAGAGCAGGACTTATTTTAAAACCATTGTCCCTAGAGAGTCATGTGGATTGGAATCAAGAAGCAACTTTCTGTTCGTTAATAAGGTAGGACCCTTTTGATTGAAAACGGACTCTTTGTACAAAGGACACCATTACCCCTGACCTTAGGGGATGTTAGAATTAGAATACAGAGGATAAGAAGAGGTGATTCATTTTGAGGGAGGGCTGGGGAACAGGCTCCCCCATATTATCCAGAAGCAACAAGAAGCACATGACCTGACATGTGGGAATAGCAGGCAGGGCTTTCTTTTGACTTTGGTCTTCTTTCTTTCTTTTTCCCCCTCTGGTTGAGCAAGGGTGGAGAGCTTTCTCTGTGTCCTACCTTTATTCTCTTCTGGAGGAAGGGGCAGTAGAGGCCAGAATGACTCAGCTGCCCTGTGGATAGAGGTAGAGAAAAGGCTACTCTTCTGGGAAACACAACCAACAGATTTTTTTTTCTTTCCCTCTCTCTCTTTTGGGAGTTGGGACTTCATGACAAGAAGAACCAACTGGACCCAGGAGAAGTGATCCATTGCCATCATCCTTTCAGATGTAATTGTGTGCCTCACATAAATTATTGTTAAAGATTGTATTTTCATTTTATAGGAGTAGCTTTTAACATATTTACAGGTACATTTTATGTTTGGAATTTCCCCTAGTTTTCCATGTCCTTGATTCATCTCGACATATACTGAATTGATAAGGTTATCATTGAGCCAAGAATTCTGCTTATAGCAACTTTATCTAGTAACTTTCATTATATCTCTCTGTTTGGAGCAAAATTATATCATTGCTTCCTAGTTATTCAGGTTCTGGGCAGTTTAGTGGCCAGTACACAGAAGATCCTGAGAGAACAACAGATTTGGTGTCCAGTAGGTTCCAAAGCATGAGGTAAGTAGTGCATGATTATTTTTATGCCCACTTTATATATGAAAAAACAGGACTGGGAGGGTTGAAGGACTTGCTCAGAAACATAATAGGTGTCTGAGATAGCTGATCCCCCTATTCTCATACCCTCTCCACCGTACAATATTGTCTCCCTTACTGTTCTCTTCTGTTATTTCTCCTTGATTTTTTCCAGGGGTATAGTGGACAAAGAGCTTGCCTCAAAGCCAGAAAGACCTGGTTTCAAGTCTTGCCTCTGACACACACTGCTAGTGTCCCCCCTGGGCCAGCCACTCAATGTTTCAGTTCTCTAAACAACTTTCTAAGAATATGAATGAAAGAAGAGATGTTGACCCACATCAGTGGATGGAGTTTCCTCACCTGGAAGTTCCTTATATTCCATTCCTGATAAGAAAATGACCAGTCTAATCCCTATCCAAACCTCTTTCCTTTGACAACCTGACAGACTATTCTTGTGGCCTTGTGGATTGGCCACCTTGTCTCATCTTCCTAGAATCTGTTGATGCCTGAGTCATTATATGGACATCAGAAACAGAGACAAGGACTCCTTCAACACCACAGGCCTTGCTTCAAAGCTTGAATGGACCACTGACTGGGCTCCCCACTTGACATTATCTCATTTTGTGGGACTCAGGGCCACATTTCCCCAGCAGTTCTCCAGAACACAGCCACACAATACAGTGGAGGATTTTCTTTGTTTCTTTTCGCATTTCATCATATGGAGACTGTTCGTGCGCCTTTTACACTGTTCTGTCACTGATAGTAGTCCTTGGGAATGTTCTCAATTGATTTATCTGATTTCTCTTTTTTTCCCTTCATCAGCCATGCCCACTGCTGGGAATGCCTGGCCTGGACTTCCTATGAGTGTTTCTCTAGATCCCTTGATCACCATCAAATCAGCCCTTTTGGAGTGGATGCCCCCTTGGAGGGTCAATTAAAGTCTTAGTTCTTCTAGGGCAGTGTATGTGCAAGTGTTTGTGTTTGTGTGTGTGGGTGGGCATGCACACCAGAAGTATATCACTTAACAAATTCATAATTTCTAAGAGGAGAAATAGACCATATCTGGTATCTGTGACTTTTGACATGGACAAAGTATTTGGAGAGTATATGGAGCCTGGGAGTGCTAAGGAATATGTCCCTATTGGTGAGCATCCACAAGGAGAAGCAGTGGAGGATAGTGGAAAGAGTGAAGCACCTAGATTCAAACCCCACCTCTACTTTGTACTTGGGTAACCTTTTTAATTTTTTTTTATATTAAACATTTACTAATTTATTTATTTTTAGTTTCCAACATTCACTTCCACAAGATTTTGAGTTCCAGATTTTCTCCCCTTCTCACCCCTTCCCCCACCCAAAGATGGCATGCATTCTGAATTCCCCTTCCTCTAATATGCCCTCCCTTCTATTACCCCTCCCTTCTCTCATCCCCTTCCCCTTCTATTTTCCTGTAGGGCAGGATAGATTTCTATACCCATTGCCTGTATATCTTATTTCCCAGTTGCATGTGAAAACAATTTTTTCATTTGTTTTTAAAACTTTGGGTTCCAAATTTTCTTTCTTCCTTCCTCCCACCCACCCTCATTGAAAAAGCAAGCAATTCAATATAGGTTATACTTGTATAGTCATGCAAAACACTTCTACAGTAGTCATGTTGTAAAAAACTATATTTCCCTTCATCCTATTCCACTTCCCATTTATTCTATTCTCTTTTTTGACTCTGTCCCTCCTCAGAAGTGTTTGCTTCTGATTACCCCCCCATTTATTCTATTCTCTCTTTTAACCCTGTGCTTCCTCAGAAGTGTTTACTTCTGATTATTCCTTCCCCCAAGTTACCCTCCCTCCTATCATCTCCCCCTTCTCTTATCCCCTTCCCCCAATTACCCTGTAGGGTAAGATAGATTTCCATTCCCAATTGAGTGTGTATGTTATTCCCTCCTTAAGCCAAATCCAATGAGAATAAGATTCACTCATTCCCTCTCACCTTCCCCCACTTCCTCTCCACTTTAAAAGCTTTTTCTTGTCTGTTTTATGTGAGATAATTTGCCCCATTCTACCTCTCCCTTTCTTCTCCTGGTATAATCCTCTTACCCCTTACTTTTATATTTTAGATATCACCCTTTCATCTTCAACTCACCCTGTGCCATCTATCTATCTATCTATCTATCTATCTATCTATCTATCTATCTATCTATCTATCTATCTACATATATTTTCCCCTCCAACTATCCTAGTACTGACAAAGGTCTCATGAGTTGCAGATATCATCTTTCCATGTAGGAATGTAAACAGTTCAACTTTAATAAGTCCCTTATGATTTTTCTTTCCTATTTACCTTTTCATGCTTCTCTTGAGTCTTGTATTTGAAAGCCAAATTTTTTATTCAGCTCTGATCTTTTCATCAAGCAGCCAGAAAGAAACCATTCAAGTATTGTGGAAACACAATCAGGATAACACAAGATTTAGTAGCTTCTATATTAAGGGACCAGAGAGCTTAGAATATGGTATTCTACAGATCAAAGGAGATTGGATTACAACCAAGAATCACCTACCCAGCAAAACTGAGTATAATCCTTCAGGGGAAAAAATTGACATTCAGTGAAATGGAGGACTTTCAAGCATTCTTGAAAAGTTCAAAATGGGTACATGACTTAGACATAAAGGATGATGTCATAAATAAATGATAGGAACAAGGAAGAAATTACCTCTCAGGTCTATGGAGAGTGTAAGAATTCGTGACAAAACAAGACACAGAGAGGTAAAATGAACATTTTTGAATACATAAAATTTAGAAGATTTCCCCCAAAAACAACCAAACGAAAAGTACAGCTAAAACTAGAATCAGGTAAATGGGGAAAAACCTTTACAAAAGCTTCTCCGATGAAGTTCTCATTTCCAACGTATATGGGGAACCTCTTCAAATTTATAAGAAAAAAAGGCATTTCCCTAATCCAACCTATCAATAAGCAATATGGAAAAATTCTTCAAGTAACTATTAATTAGGGAAATAGAAATTAAAATAACTGTAAGGTTCCAACTCATACCCATCAGATTGGCAAAGGTGACAAAAAAGAAAAACGACAAATGCTGGAGGGGCTGGGAAAAACAGGTACACAATGCTCAGTTGGTGGAGCTGCGAACTATTCCAACTACTGTGAAAAGCAATTTGGAGCTATGCTCCCCAACTGTTAGCTTGTGCTTACTCTTTGACCCAGTGATACCACTGCCAGGTCTAGACACCCAAAGAAAGCAAAGGAAAGCAACGACCCATGTGTCCAAAAATCTTTATAGCAGCAATGTAGCAGCAAAGATAGAAGCCAAAGGGGTTGTTAATGGTATGATGATAAATGTTTAGCAACCAACTCTCTGGGGTGAAAAGGTATATAAATGATCTTTTTAATCTGGATTATTAACCTTTTCTCCATTACTTTCTTAAGCCTAGAAATAAACAAAATAATAAATCAAGTCTTTATTTATGGAATTTACCTAATTCAGAGTATAAATGCTCACACTTAAAATTCAGCCTTTTCTTTTGAGTTGGAATGAGCTGGTTTCTACACAGCCCCCTGAGTGTTTCCCATCAATTGAGGAATGGTCAAACAAGTTACAGTATATTGATGTGATGGAATATTATTGTTCTGGAGGAAATAATGAAGGGGATGGTTTCAAAGAAACTTATTTGAACAGATTAAGAGTGAAGTGAGCAGAACCAGGAGAACAATTTATACAATAACAACAATATTGTTTTTTTAAAAAAATTGTTTTAGAAAGTCTTAACAACTCTGATCAACACAATGACCAACTATGACTCCCAGAGGACCCAGGCTTCCCACCTCTTGAAACTGAGGTGATGGACTCAAAGGACAGCTGAGGTTTGTGTTTTGTTATGGTTGTTTTGGACATAACCGAGGTAGGATTTTGTTTTGTGTTATTATACAGATTTGGAATAGGGAGGTTTGTTTTTCTCGTTTGGGGAGTGGGTGGGAGTGGAGGAGGATCTTTGCTTTAAAAAAAAGAATTTAATTTAAAAAAGTCAAATGAAGGGGTTGGACTTCATGGACTCTCTGGTCCCTTTATGTTCTAACTCAATCATCCTGCAACACTTGGTTGTACTCATTACTGGTCTTTATTATTTCTAGAATGTCTGTTCATGGCAGAGTTCCTTTTAGGACAAATGTCTTCTAGCTATACTACCTATAGAAAGTGAGGTTGTTTTTTTCAGTAAGCCCGATTTTTTTTAAGTAAAATTTAGTGTCAAGTTCTCCAGCATACAGCAAAATCCCAGGAGCCCAGATATAAACTGAAATGCATGGAACATCTGTGAGGCGGGAATGTTCCTTCTCTAACCAGCCGTGCTCTCGTAAAAGAGAAATGGAAATGTTTCCTTTGGATTCTCAGCACACAGCAGGTGGGCGGTAAGCGCCCACCTCATTATGGAGCTGAGCCCATCAATTAGAGTGGGGGAAAGGGCTGTGATAGGACCCTGGGGGATGGGACCATTTTCCTCATTAAGTCCTAACTAGGTAGTTCTCAGTCTTTCCTAACATCATTATGTTCCCGATGTTTCGTCCCTGCCCATTAGCTATCCCTAAGGCTTCTGTGAGCATCAGCCTGGCTGCCCAATTCACCTGCTCTACTCTTTCTGCATGCATTCATCCCATTGCTAGGGAGGGCTTTTCTTTCTTTAGCAAACCTGTCAGTGCAAAGTCATCCCCTCTTTTTAATGAAAACCTGCTTGAATGTTAGACAAGTCTGGGCTCAGAACTGGAGTCAGAGTCCACGTGAGTATCAAATGAACTCTATGTGACTGGCAGAATGCCGAGGTCCCTGAAGATAGGGCGACCCCCCATGACATGACAGACTCCATTACCAATTACTTGTGTAGCTGGCTAACTACTTCTTTTCCTCCTTCATGGCCTGTCAGGCTGATTTCCACAGCTGAGGGGCTAGGTAATTGCCTGTGGTTGTACAAAGGGAGAGCAGTGTACATGGATGGCTCTAATTAAGACTGAGGCTGCTGTGTGTGATTTTTTTGTAGGGTCTTGCTCCAAGGATAACAATGTCCCAGGTACCCAAAGGACTAAGTGAGGGCCCTCACCTACTGGAGTCAGTCATGCAAGCAAATTAAATGGGATTTGGAATTCAGGATGCTTCTGGTCCTAAGGATTGCCTTTGAAACACAGTGTGCACCTGAATAACTTTTAATGAAGATACCTTACCTACTGTTGAGTACCCAGATGCTCAAAGGTCAAGAGAACTCTCAAATCTGGGTTCTCCTTTACCCTCTGCTTTTTCTCAAAGCCCAATTGCCATTCTTGTCTCTAGACTCAAATACAAACTCCTCCATTTGTCATTTAAAGTCCTTTCTAATTAGGGTCCAGAGATCTAGCCAGGCTAATTGCACACTTTTCTCATTGAGTCAGTACTCTATAGCCCCATTAAACTGGCCTACTTGCTCTCTCCTTTATAAGGTTCCTGTGGAGAAGGAGCCAGCTATTTCCCCCAAAAAGTTTTCCAAACAACTACTCCTGGTGAGGCAGACAAGCCAGACAAGCTGAAGCAACCAAGCACCCTGAAGAAGAGACAGGAGGAAGCATGTGCCAGGCAGATTCATCCTCATCCATAGCGCCTGGACCACCCTCTCTCCTCACACCCTGATGGGGAAATCCCAGGACCATGAACCCAAGAGACTTAGGGACAGCCAGGTTTCAAGTCCCATGCCTCAATCATCATCCTATGAAGCCATCCCTGGGGAGATGTAGACTGGCCATGAACCTGCAGAAGCTGCAGCCACAGCTACTGGAGACCCAGAAAGGGAAGTTCTGGCCACCCAGGTCCTTGGCCCTGTTAAATGGTGTGATTTTATCACTGGAAAAATCTTCTATATGCCAATAAATTTGACTATCTTAGTAAAATGGATGAATATTTACAAAAATATAAATTGTCCAGATTAACAGAAGAAGAAGTAAAATGCTTAAATAACCCCATCTCAGAAAAAGAAATTGAACAAGCCATTAATGGATTCTCTAGGAAAAAATCTCCAGGGCCAGATGGATTTACAAACGAATTCTATCAAACGTTTAAAGAACAATTAATTCCAATACTACATAGACTATTTGGGAAAATAGGTGAAGAAGAAGTCTTACCAAATTATTTTTATGATACAAATATGGTGCTGATACTTAAACTGGGACAGAGAAAGGAAATTATAGAGCAATTTCCCTAATGAATATAATGCAAAAATTTTAAATAAAATATTAGCAAATAGATTACAGCAACTTATCACAATAATAATACACTATGATCAGGTAGGATTTATACCAGGAATGCAGGTCTGGCTCAATATTAGGAAAACTATTAGCGTAATTGATCATATTAACAACAAAACTAACAGAAACCACATGATCATCTCAATAGATGCAGAAAAAGCTTTTCACAAAATACAGCACCCATTCCTATTAAAAACACTAGAGAGCATAGGAATAAATGGATTCTTCCTTAAAATAATAAATAGGATCTACCTATTACTTTCAGCAAGCATTATATATAATGGGGACAAGCTAGAAGCATTTCCAACAAGATTGGAGGTGAAACAAGGATGTCCATTGTCACCACTGTTGTTCAATATCATACTGGAAATGTTAGCTTTAGCAATAAGAGAAGAAAAATAAATTGAAGGTATTGGAATAGGCAAAGAAGAAACAAAGCTATCACTCTTTGCAGGTGATATGATGACATACTTAAAGAATCCTAGAGAATCAAGTAAAAAACTACTTGAAATGACAAACAACTTTAGCAAAGTTACAGGATATAAAATAAACCCACATAAATAATTAGCATTTCTATATATTATTAACAAAGTACAACATCAAGAGACAGAGAAATTCCATTTAAAGTTACTGTAGACATTATAAAATATGTAAGCGTCTACCTGCCAAAACAAACTCAAGAATTATATGAACACAATTACAAAACACTTCGCACAAATAAAGTCAGATCTAAATAACTGGAAAAACATCAGTTGCTCATGGGTAGGCCAAGCTAATATAATAAAAATGACAATTCTACTTAAATTCATTTACTTATTCAGTGTCATACCAATCAAACTACCAAAAAAGTATTTTATAGAGCTAGAAAAAATAGTAACAAGATTCGTCTGGAAGAATGAAAAGTCCAGAATATCAAGGGGACTGCTGAAAAGAAATGCTAGGGAAGGTGGCCTAACTGTGCCACATCTTCAATTGTACTATAAAGGAGCAATCATCAAAACTACTTCTACTGGCTAATAAGTAGCATGGTGGATCAGTGGAATAGGTTAGGTACACAAGACACAAGTAGTCAATGACCATAGTAATCTACTGTTTGATAAACCTAAAGACCTCAGCTTCTGGGATAAGAATTATTTGATAAAAGCTGCTGGGAAAACTGAAAAGGAGTATGGCAGAAACTGGGCATAGACCATCATCTTACACCATTTACCAAAATAAAGTCAAAATGGATTCATGATTTAGATATAAAGGCTGATACTATAAGCAAACTAGGAGAGCAAGGAATAGTTTACCTGTCAGATTTATGGAGAACAAAAGAATTTATGACCAAACAAGAGATAGAGAATGTTATAAAATGCTAAATGGATAATTTTGATTACATGAAGTTGAAAAGTTTTTGTGCAAACAAAGCCAATGCAGCCAAGATTAGGAGGGAGGCAGAAAACTGGGAAAGAATTTTTACAACCAGTGTCCCTGATAAATGCCTCATTTCTAAATATATAGAGAACTGAGTGAAATTTATAAGAATACAAGTTATTCCCCAATTGATAAAAGGTGAAAGGATATGAACAGGCAGTTTTCAGATGAAGAAATTAAAGCTATCTATAGTCATATGAAAAAATGCTCTAAATCACTGTTGATTAGAGAAATGCAAATCAAAATGACTCTGAGGTACCATATCCCACCTATCAGATTGGCTAATATGACAAAACAAGAAAATGATAAATATTGGAGAAGATGTGGAAAAGTTGGAACACTAATGCCTTGTTAGTAGAGTTGTGAACTGATCCAATCATTCTGGAGAGCAATTTGGAACTATGGCTATAGGGCTATAAAAATGTGCATACCCTTTGACTCAGCAATAGCACTTCTAGGGCTGTACCCCAAAGAGATCATAAAAATGGGGAAAAGACCCACATGTACAAAAATATTTATAGCAGCTCTTTCTGTGGTAGCAAAGAATTGAAAATTGAGGGGATGGATGCCAATCAATTGGAGAATGGCTGAACAAGTTGTGGTATATGAATGTAATGAAATACTATTATGCTATAAGAAATGATGAGCAGGCAGACTTCAGTAAAACCTGGAAAGACTTGTATGGACTGATGCTAAGTGAAGTGAGTAGAACCAGGAGAATGTTGTACACAGTAACAGCCACATTGTGTGATGACTAACTTTGATAAACTTAGCTCTTCTCAACAATGCAAGGATCTAAGAGAACTCCAAAAGATTCATGATGGAAAGTGCTATCCACATCCAGAGAAAGAACTATGGAGTTTAAATGCAAATCAAAGAATACTATTTGCTCTTTTTTTTTCTTCTGTTTTGTTTTGTTTCTTCTTTCTCATGGTTTCTCCTATTGGTTTTAATTCTTCTTTACAACATGACTAATGTGAAAATGTGTTTAATAGGAATGTATATGTAGAGCTTATATCAGATTGCATCATTTCTTGGGGAGGGAGAGGGAGAAAATTTAAAACTGAATATCTTATGGAAGTGAATGCTGAAAACTAAAAATAAATCAATTAAAAAATTAAATAAAAAAAAATAAAAACCCGACCATAAAAAAAAATACTATAGCTCTTGAGTCCCTAATCATGTGCTTCATCCATTGATTAGCAGTTGATATCAAATCACCAGCCAGATTCAGTTAATCAGACCAGGGATGGAGAACCTGCAGCCTTGAGGCCACGTATGGCCTTCTAGGTCCTCAAGTGCAGCCCTTTGGCAAAGTTTGTGTTCAATCAAAAGACCACGCTTGAGAAGCTAGAGGGCCATATGTGGCCTTGAGGCCACAGGTTCTCTATCCCTAAACTGGATGAACTGGACACTTTAAATTAAAACGTACATTTTGCTATGGTGGAAAATTAAGATTAGTCAGTGTTAAACATCCTACTACAAATCTGTGCCACATTCTTCCACTCGCACATACTGAGTGCTGGGGAAAGTGGAATCAAGTTTGGAGCAATTGGGCTTCTGGAAGTCCTCTTCCTGGACCTGTCAAGATGTTCCTCTCAGCCATGGCATAGCTTTCTGATGGGTCCTGAAACAGCCTGTCCTCCGTGTGTCTTATTTGTAGCGTGTGATAGAGTTTACATTAGTTTAATGTCTTTGATTGATTCAGGAGAGATGTTTACATTGGCAGAGTTGCATGTTGCCCTGATGATGTGGGTTTTCCATCACTCGTGCCTCCTTGGCATTTCCTTTGTGTGCTCGCATTCCTCCAGTTACTGAGTACATCTGGGGTAGAGCGTGGCCTAGGTTTATGTGTTGGCAGTTATGTATTTAGTATGGATGCATTTGTTCCTCATATATCTGTGATATCATTTTTTTGTCATATTGCTAAGTAAAAGATTACGCTTGAAATGTTTTAAAAGTGCCATCATTGTGAGTGGCTGGTTCGTGTAAGTGGCAACACATTGGCAGGGGCTAGAGTGGGGAGTAGACAGAGGGCATTCCCTCACAACACAGTTGCCCCCAGGACCTTAAGAATGCTTGTGTGTATCCTTGTGGTGGCAGCTCTGCTCCGGGAATCTGGACCAGCTCGGAGAGTGAATGTGTTTCCACATACCCTGCATGAGTGATATGATGAATTAGTGTGGCTGGTCACCCCACAGACTCATCATATCTTCACCAATCTAAATGTGTTCATCTCTTTCAACTAATTGGATTACATTGTTATTTCTCCCACTTTCTCTTGTAGTTCTTTCCCGTAAATCCGATATACCCTCTCTTCTTCATTTTCTTCTCATTTGCATCAGATGCCCTGTTTTCTTTATTTTCCTGGATACTTGTTTTTCTGTACTTTTTGTGGAATACACACACATACATATGTATACATACACCACATACTTATGTATAAATAGATGTAAATATATGTCTGTATGCACAAACCACTGACTTCCCTCATTAGAATGTAACCTCCTCACTATCAGGAATTATTCTGTTCTTACCTGTGTCCTCATTTTTCTCATTCTTCCCTCAGCTCCTAATGTAGATGCTTTAAATAGGAACAGTGTTGGGTACAGTCAAGATATGAGCTTAAATCCTGCCATACTTTCAGACCCCCCCCCTTCTTGGTTCTTATTGTGGGGCTGAGAAGTCATTTATATGGGATACGTGACTAGCGTCCTAACCCAGAATGACAAATGCCCAGCCTACAGACGATGCTTGTTAGAAAAAAAAAATTAGGGACACCCCCCTGAAAATCCAATACATTTTGTCTTAATAGAATTTGATTTAGATGGAGGCTGATAATTGCTTTCTGCACTGCTTCTCTGCATTTGTGGTGCAGAGTGGATACAGATACATCAACACAAAAATTATGGGATGGCTGAGCTACCTTGGGATTGAGGAAAGGCAAACTTTATTTAGCAGGCTATCTTAGGAGATATTTCTGCATTGGATACATCTCTATTCCTTTCTACATTCCATCTTGTCCATGCTGTGAATGAATTCTCCTTGAAAGAATTCAAAGGCAAAGCCACCTTACTGACCTTGGTCAAGTGCCTTCCCCTCACTGTGCTTCCTTAGTCCTCCCTTGGAGAATAAGGGGTGTGGACACATCATCACCAATGTCTCCTCCAGCTCCAGTTCCCATGACATTCGTTCTGGCCCAGATGAG